TATCTGTAAGTCAGCACTCCAGTTTCCTCCCACAAGTAAATAATTAATTACACATAAATTGACCATGAACCAGAAGTGAGATTCTCCTGGTAGAACAGAATTGGGCTTCGGTTTTGCTTTCCTGGGTAGATGTCGTATTTTTGCCCGATGTATGCCCTGATTTCATTAATCTCTTTCCTCTTTTGTTGTTCATTCTTGTCTTACAAGGTATGTAGATTTGTTCTTATCATCAATGTGCTTTGAACGTTGCTAAGGGGTGACGTGAAAACGAAGGTTCTGCCAGAACTTCATCCAGTTGCACATCATAAAAAAACACCAGAGGTTGGACCGAAACGAGGGGACTACGTAGCCCCTTCTGGAGCCATTTCAGGAGGCCTCCATTATCCAACAATCGAAGGCACAGTGTTTTCCTTTCTCAAATGGGGACGGGGCTCGTCTCCACTCTGTGGCCCTTAGCCGATTGTTACAAATGTCCACATTCCTCCCGAGGGGGGAAGTCTACCCACAAGACAATCACCGTTGACTGCCAACACTGTAATGCTCATCATATCGATCCCAGAGGAATGTTGGCATTTGAACTCACAACGTTTCCGCTTGCCAGTCATGTTTCCTGCCACGGCGCCAGTACGTGATTTCATGATTTGTAAAAGATTAGTTTTGCCAATTCCACTTGGCTGATTTTTTTGAGATCCCAGGGCAGAGATTGGCTGAATTTAGTGCATCGCCACATTTACATGATGGCTTTTTGATACAGTTCACTGGGGATTGGACTAAGAACATCAAGATGTACTGCTCGTCAGACATCTCCCAAATTAGTTGGGGCGCCGCAGTGGCGAGATGTTAACTCCCTCGCCTGGCATACAGGAGGTTGTGGGTTCGACCTCGACCCTGATCCCTGTATATTTGGAGTTTGCATGTTCTCCCCGTGATCGCGTGGATTTTTCTCCATGTCCTTAGGTTTTTCTCTCCACATTTAGAAACATGCGATTAGAGTATTTGGCTGCTATAAATTACTGCATGATAAGCCACTTCATTGGGCCATCATTTGTGGCAAGGTCGCTTCTGAAACAAGTTACATCGCTCAGTGGGCCTTACCCGGTAAAATAAAAAAAATAGTGAAATAGTTATATCTCCTATTCAAGCAGTCATACTTTTCCCACGTCAGTTTTAAGGATAGTATCTGAATCATAGCTGGGAGAAGCTAAATGAAGAAAGTAACCCGTTTATTTCGTGCTCCTCCAGGTGGCTACTGAGACCATCGCCTTGCTGCTACGCTTGAGAACCTGTTACCACTTGTAGGTGGTTGCTAGGGTTGCCACCTGTCCTGGATTTCCCAGGATTGTCTTCTTCTGGAGGCAGCTGTCCGGGGAAATCTGTGCGACATCACTTGTCCAAGTTTTAGTTTGTTGCGTAACATTGCGCCACTTGGTGCGTTTACATGCAGGTCTCCCCTCTTCCGGTTTTGTGAGATATTCATCTTCCCATGACAGTTCCTGGTTTGGTTCGACCTCTGAGTTGGGAACCCTGGATGGCTTTACTGGGTGTAGCTAGGTGGTGCGTTGGCACACTGCCTGACTCACCACCAATTAGAAGAATGCAACTCCAATGGGTTGGTGGTTGACGCAGTCCATCGCACCTTCATGTACGATACAAAGTAGTTACTGTTTTATGAGACATAAACAGTGTTTGTCACATACATAGAGTGCAATCCCACCAACTCCACAGTAGGAATGTGGAGTTTCTAACACTAATCCAGGGCTGCCAAAGGAGATAAGCACCACGCCACGTTGCTTGAGCGTGGATTCAATTTACCACTTGAGCCTGATTGAAACCCAAGATCACAGCAGTGACAGCTCATTGATCTGACACATTGGCTGCCGGGTTGAGATCGTCAAGCTCTCTACGCTTAAGAGCCTGGCTTACTCTTTGAATAGGTAGCTGCCCGCATTCAAAGCCAGGTATCTCTACCGGCTCGGCGCACTCCACATCCATCAACACTGAAAGCCGCCCGCCACCTCTAACAACACAAAGCCCCTTTAATGCTCTCAGAAAGCATTACACGTATGCTATTCCCATACATGCCGACCGAAGGGGCTGATTGCTTCTTGATTTTAACCCATACAGACCTTACCGACTTATTTTCACCGGACCATTCATTCGCTACATTGGATCGTGCGTGGAGATGAATTGGCCCGCACGCGCGCCGATCAATACGGCGGGTCTCAGCGCGGAGCGATGCGCTGGCCCCGCAAGCTCCTCCTTTAACCTGCGCCCACACGCAGCGCCGGTCTCAGGGAAATCACCGCAGGTGCTGTCCCCGGCTTTTTCGTCCGAGTAAAGAAAAAAAAATCGGCCGCACACCACCGCGTCACCCGCAGTGCGTCCGTCGCCACTGCGTAACGCAGACGCGCGGACTGCTGCGTGACGCAGACACGGGGACGCTGAAAGTCTACACGCATGGCTAAGCCGCAGCGCGGTGATGTCACGTCACCACGCTGTGGCAGTGATAGCTTCGCTTACTGTGCTAATATGTCTTTGGATATCAACACGAGCAAAGACTGTCAACACCCTGCACAGAGACATATCGAGCCAGACGTACGTATAGGGTGTTGGTGGTGCCAAGTATCGCATGCTGTCAACGTTGGTGCCTTCAGTGTTCACAATTTACACTATCTCGGGAGCAGTGGTTTGGAAAATTGATCTCAAATTCCATTTCCGGGTCACCAACATGACATCTTCTTATCCGCATGATTTTACATATACCCAAGTTTCAAAATCGGTCGATGGCTTCAAGATATTCTATTCTACCCGTGTGCAAGATCGTGGGACTTATATTCAGGAGCTAGATGCCAATGTCGGGTTCTGCTAGCCAGCAAACATTCAAGAAGATTGTTCGGGTTGGTGGCAGTCTCCCCCGTGTTTTGTTTTCCACCACTCATTTAAGGCTGACGAGTTGGAATTGAGAGCTTTGGCGGTTGTCCAGGATGGCTTCCTTGACTTGAGACGGATTGTCGGTAGGTTTTAATGAGGTCTCAGTGCAGGGGAAGGTCTTTGCTGGGGTGGAGAGCGCGTTTCCGGCACGCGATGGTTTCACAGCAAAAAGGTGCTGAGGGCCGACGTGGGAGAGTTGCGGGCAGCCAAGGCAGTGGCGTGGAATTTAATGAACCAGATATGTAAATCTGGTCTGTGCCTCCTAACTGTTTATTCGGGCAAATGTGAATGTGCGATGCTCTATAAATATTAACAGTCGTCAAACGAAGGTAACCATATTTGTACTGATAGGTCCACTCCCCCAAAGCTGCCTTGCCCTTGTTTATAGCTTTTTGCTCACAATACCTTAGCTCAACAGTGCATCTGAGCTAAAAGGGTCACGTCTGTATTTTCTGCGTGCTGTCCTTCCGTAAGGGGAGGGGTCAGTGTTGATGGGCAAACAAAAAATGAGTCAATGAACGTCGTTTAGAATTTGTCCAGAATAGACTCAAAATGCTCGCTAAAGCCGATTGGGCCTCAAATATGGGGGACCAGAATTCACCGCAGCGTAACAATACGGTGTTGAAATAAACAATATGAAATACGTCATAAACGCATGCAAGCTAACACGCAAGTCAGCACAAAACTAAGGCAATCATTAACATTCATTATTGACTTTAATCATGGATATTAATAACAGAAATGTACAGCCCTTGATCAGTCCACTGCTGGTGGTGAAGCCCTCTGCCCACACTGTGTAAGTAATGGAAACTGTCTGACCACACTTCACCACGCTGGTCAGAGCCGGTTGGTCAGGAGGTGTTGTCCACGAATCAGTTCAGATATCACGTGCCGCTGATGTTACACATGGACGTGAATATATGTATGTCACGCGAAATATAAATTTGTTTATAAATGCCAGAGGTCATCCTATGTGTTTGGACCTCTGTCATCCGACAAATGGATGTACTTCATTTTACCAACCCTTGACGGATGATTGTCTGAGTTTACCCCCGACCGCAATTTAAGCTCACAACCTCCCAGTGGTAAGTTTGGCGCCACGGTCGCGACATGTTAACTACCTCGCCCGGTATACAGGAGGTTGTGGTGTTCGATCCCGACCCTGACACCTGTATATTTGGAGTTTGCATGTTCTCCCTGTGGTCGCATGGATTTTTCTCAGGGTCCTCCGGTTTTTCCCTCTCCATTTAGAAGCATGTGTTTTGAGTTTTTGGCTGCTATAAATGTCCACGTGATAAGGCCACTTTGTTGAGCTATCATTTGTGGCCAGGTCGCTGCTGAAAAAAAGAGCTATGTCTCTCAGAGGGCCTTTCCCTGTAACATAAATAGCTATTGCAGTGCATTTTAAACATCAAACTAATATTACAGGCCGATGGGTCTATGCTGAGAGGAAACAAAGGTAAAGGTGCTGCCCCGCAATTGCTTGCTAACGCCACCTGCTGGTGGAAGGGCCCTCGCGAAAGGGAGCTCCACTTAGAGGCCCATCGGAGAGGGAAATTTTGGCCTTCTCTTCCACACTGGCCAGCCGCTTTGGAAGAGGTTGGAGCATCGGCGCACGTTCACCCATCACACGCCCGACCTGCCGGTCGGCGACCTGTGGTGTACCTATTTATAATGCTGGGTGGACAAAGTGGGTAGTAGATTTTAGAAACTCGCGTTATTGTTTCCACTGCCGTGCCACAAGGTCGAACCAGCGACCTTTGGATTGCATGTCCGGTGTGCTAAGCATTGCACCGCAGCAGCAACTGTGATGAAGACCCTCTTATTCCCACCCATTTGACTCATATTCAGAGGTAATCTCGCACCATTTGTTTTAACGAGCCTGATGGTCGAAATCGGTCCAAAGTTTGGTTGGACGTTATTGGTCTAGAAAGCCAAAAGGCCGATGGCCTTAAACGCACTCATTATTCTCACGCGGAGAGACAGAACGAAGCGCTGCTCACCTTCGCATTCGGAGTGGTGTGGCGTGTCGTAAGTAATGTGTGGCTTTACATTCGGGCGATGTTCAGAAATCGCTGATCAACCGCGAGGAGGAGCTGCTGGGCACGGGCACTGGGAGCTCCTACCCGCAGATCCTGGAGCTGGAGCAGGCGAAGGAGCCCTACGAGCGGCTGTGGCGCGCCGCCGTGGCCCTGCAGAGCCTCGCCGACGGCTGCCTCGGCGGCCCCATCCACCTCGTCAACGCCGAGCAGGTGGCCGACGAGGTGAGTCGGACTCGCACGCCACGGCGGCCGGGGGGGGGGGGAGCGGGAGGGGGGGGGGGGGCATCATGACGGTCGATTAAGGAGCCCCCCGCCACCTGTTCCCACCCTCCCCTTCCTTCCTCCCTCCCCCTGTCCCTTTCCTTCCCCCAGTATGTTCGTTATCTCACCCCTTTCTCCCTCCCCCCATACACATCTTCATGCCCTCCTGCGCGTGGTCCCCACCAGGCTGGGGCAGTGAGACCAATTTTCTTCCCTTCATAGGTGCCCTGTCGCGACGGAATTGCGTTGCTGATTTTATGTCCCCCCCCCCCCCCTCATTCTGTGATCGGCGTTTTGTACCGGGCCCACGTAAAAAAAAAACTAAAATTGAGCGACGTCCTCGCCAACGCCACCGCACTGCGTCCCCTCGCTGCCTTCTGCCATAATTCAGCATCTGATGGATAGGCTGTCTCCAGACCACCAAGTCCTCCTCTTGTAGTCTCACAATCAACAGCCTCACAATCAACAGTCTCACAATCAACAGTCTCACAATCAACAGTCTCACAATCAACAGTCTCACAATCAACAGTCTCACAGTCAACATCCGGAGATTGCTGCCTGCATTTTTGGGTCTTCTTTGAGTTCAGAATCTTTATTTATCCTGGAGAAAATCCGATTAGCTGTGAAGCAATGTTTGGTTCACAGATGTCCAGTAGGGGGCACGGGGTCAGAAGAGTCCTCTGCCTCAGGATGGCCGCTCGCCCCAGATTCGTCCAGGCTGTCCGCTGTCCTCTTCACCTCGCCGTCGTAGACCCTCTCCGTTCTTCAAATCGTCGAGCACTGCCTTCCTTTTTTCTACTTGTTTGGCCTTTTTTTCGTCCCAACTGCAATCCTTCCGGAGCTCCCATAAGAAAGTCTTCCCCTCTGATAATTTGCCAAATCCTAATGTTTTACCTTCTTTGAGTTATTCCAATCACTACTTGAATTGGTAACCAATTACCACTAAATCTCTAACAAATGTATAATAATGTTATAAATCTTCAAGCAAAGAGTATCATTATAATTCAGCTCAGTGTTTGTATTTTCCATGTGTTATCCCATTCATCTTCACTATGACAATTCCCATTAATATTATCATGATTATCCGTATGCAGCCGTATATAAACACACGACTATTTTCTGCATAAAATTGTATAATAACCACCATCATTTCCAATTTATAATTATAATAACAATTGTAGTAATATTCTCCCCATCACCACAAGTGCCATTTAAGCGTGGCATTGTGAATATATTTCCCTTTTCTGGAATCAATTTCATAGCTGTAATTCTGAATCAACATTTTGCATTAATTGTTTCTTGTTAACAAGCATCTAAACGTAGCAATCTTTTTACGAATGCAATGTGTTACATTAAGTGGAGTCTCTTTCGCTGGTGATGAACTACGCAAGCAGGCTAATGAGCTAACCTTAATGATGAATCAGCGTTGTCCGTGGCTGTAACGTGTATGCAATTTTCACGCTGACTATTCGTACTGCAATCTGGCTGTGTTGTGGCTCACTTGCGGAATGTGCGGGCACATGATCGGAGAATCGAGAATTACGTTTGCCAAACGTGGGTGGACTTAGCCTACTATCTCTCCAGTCATTAATCCTGTCCGTTACCTTTTTGTTCGAAGTGAATATAAAACCACGGATTGCCAATACTGGTTCGGGGCATCCAATGTAGACCCATCGCTTAGAATCAAATTACTCCGCTCACAAAACACACGCAGAACTGCGCGTGTGAGAACAGATTATTTCCTGTTCATGAAAATGACATGCTAATTATGTGCTCATGTTACATTTCGGATAACGGAAGGAGCAGTGTGTGAAAACAAGACGGGAAAAGGGAGAGGCAACACAAATGGGATAGAAACTCACGAGACAAAAGTAATAGATTCTTAACTTAAACTCTGACCCCGAGTCCTCACAATGCATCGAATCGCCGGGCAATTCAACCGCATCCCTTGGAGCACGCAGACGCTAGATGGAGCTCTTCCTTGCTTTTAAACAAATGACTGACTGCATGCCAATTGCCCTTCCTTCGCTGGATATTGACTCTTAGACCTGGGTTTAGGCTGATTGATGTGAAAAAACCTAATGTGTAAGTTGTTGTGAGTGCAGTCGTTGTTGATTGCTCTGAAAACCATTCACCAAAAATACTTGACAACGAATTTTTATTATCGATAGCTGCCCATTCGGTTAACCCATCATTTCAGCTATACTGGCTCAGCGCCCTGACACGGTATTAGCAGCCTGAGCCACCCAGCCACCTCTTTTAATTCATCATAAGACCCAGCCCCGCTGATGCACCCACCGATTTCTGTCCTGGCCAAGCGAGGCGACAGTCAACCCGCAGCATAATAATCCCTTGAATGAATGAACGGCTGACTTGCATCTTTCATGTTGCGGGGAAATTGTTCAGAAACATTTTGCGTGTCCATTGCCGAGCCTAGTTGAGCAGAGCAAGTGGCCGGCGAGATGTCGAAAGTTCACCGTCGAGCGTCGCGCCACATCGATCTCCCGGTTTCATCGGCGACTGACCGCCGTGCTGCGTCGTCGCACGCGTGACGTCACGTGTGCGTCACGCGTGACGTCACGCGTGACGACATGCGTGACGCAGGTGCAGACGCTGTGGAAGACGAGCTACAGGCTCACGAAGGTGTTCAACCACCCCGAGATGCACGGCCCCATGCGAGTGGCCACCGCCATCAAGGCGAGGCTGGAGAAGTTCAAGATCAACATGCCCCTCATCACCGTCCTGTGCACGCCTGGCATCAAGGAGCGCCACTGGGAGATGATGAGCGTCAAGGTAAGGGCCCCCAAGCCGTGCGCCAACGCAGCGCAATCTCCGCGACCGTTAAATCAAGGCATTGGAGTTCTGAGCGATTGTGGACCAATTATGTTTAACAGCGTGAAGCTTTCTAATCACAAAAAAATGCATTGTCTAGCAGCTTGCAGAATGGATTCACCCTCTAGATTTTGTGCCTATTCATGGATAAAAAAAAAAATTACCACCGAACTTGGAACTATTTTGCCTTGGTCACCTTTCTTCTTTGAGTTTCTCCAATTTGTTATTGCTGCAGTATCTATCCTCCACATTGATATTCTTCTTTATTATACTTTGCTGTTATTTTAAAGTGATCGTTGTAATAATAAAACTAATTTTATCAGATGAACATTAAACGGTGCTCATCTCCTTCAGTGTCCTTGAGCTACCGAGGGAAATTCCTCATTCCTACGACAGGGGCCAGTAACTCGTAATAAATGACACTCCTGGTAATTCAATAAAAACCATCACATTTTGGAGTCGCGATTCCACTCGAGAATCAGCTGATTCGACCAAGAGTCGGCTCGGGCGCAGGCACAGGCTTCAAGTTGGTACTGGCAAATGTTCAGGGCCAGGAATATGCACTCACCCGATATGAAATTACCTAGTGCGGGATATGAAAATCATTTACTGGAGAGAAACGCTGCTGGCCGCACCACCCTTTCATGCACTGTGCTGGCACTCAGTCGTATAATTTCACAATCCCACGTTAATCATATTGTAAATTATAACTTGTAGCCCGCACGCTATAACGCTCACTCTCAAAAAAGAGACGAACGTTCAGGGGTGCAAAGAGCCGCAGACGAGGGGGAAGGCACCCACCCGTTGAGCTGGCGCCAACTACTGCCCAAGCTCTGAGCTCTTCTATTTATGAAGGCGTTATCGACCCTCTTTGCCATTCTGAGACAATTGCAAGTTTCAGGGTGGGTCCCGTTTACCGCTGAATTTCGTTACGCGCGAGCAGTTCAGCATTTCTAGATTTAAAGCTTTCGTGACTGCAAGGATCCATACTCTCTGGTTCTATTGGGTAAAGTCACGTAGGTACAAAATAAAATAACAAAAATCACGACGTTTCGGCCACAACACAAGCGGCCTTCATCAGGTGAAGGGACGCTGGAGCGCTGTCCTCCAGACAGTCTCGTCCCTTCGAAACGTCGTGATTTTTGTTATTTTATTTTTTACCTACGTGACTTTACCCAATAGAACCAGAGAGTACAGTTCAGCATTAATTTAATTTAGAGAGGCGTAGCGCCGTTGTTTTTAAATACATTGTACTCACCGCAGAGAACCGTAGCGACACGACCGCAGTCTATGATAGCTGGCGCCAAACTGTGCCACACGCCCTCCCGCATGGCATTGTGGGAGCCTCGGTACCGATAAAGTTATTTTCTTTCGGTTTTTCTTCCAGTTCCTTTCCGATGACGTACGTACTGATAATGTACACATACTTCATCGGAACGGGAAAGGAGGAATGCGTGTTTACATCTGGGAGGAAACCAGAGCACCTGGAGGAAAAAACTCACACATGCGATGAGGAAACACTATCCCACACAGATGAAACAGGTGGATTCCACATTTTTACTGCCCTGGCGGGCAAGGATATTCCACCACAATTCCCATGGAAAGGTGCATTCACAGCGAGTGTGTGATCCACGAACCCTCGCTACCTCCACAGTGCTGGATTACAGGCGTTCATAGCCACCACTGCCCGGCATGTTGGTGAGCTGTCTCTTCACGGGAGGATTTTAAACACATATTTTTATCAACCCTGTGATTATGATGGGCTGAGTTGCCTTCCGCCGGAGATGTGCACTCGTAAACTTTCCACTCTCCCAGCTGCACCACCCAGGCAAGGGGTTGCTATCCATGTGAATAATGACGCAGGCTTCTAATCCTGTTAACAGGATTACGACAGCGCTGGACAGAATTTGTTTTCCTTTACGACGACAACAGCACAGCCTAGTTTGCGCTGTAGGATTCCCTACCCATGTGAAAGTCACAGGATGTGTCCATGCACACAACAACAGTAAAAAAAACATTATATGTTTGCCCATATATTTATTTAGTGTTAGGACTTAGTCCAAACAAACAGGTCATGTCAATGAAGGTGTATGCATATTACCTTACAATTTACAAGCTCTTCAAGTAAAAAGAAAATGCATTGGCAAATTTGCCCATGGTGTTGGCACATGATAGCCTCTGTGGGGTTTTTTTTTTGCGTGTGCAAATTACGTTGCTGTTTTTTTTCTTTCTCTCTCGCGTGAGTCCACGAGGGAATTGGATGAAATGCAGGGCTTAGAATTCTGTCCGAGGCAGGCATGTTTATTGGTAATGAAACTGCAGTACGTTATCAGAGGCGCTCATATGGGCGCACTCAAATTAGCACTCGCCCCTGTGTCGGCCTGTGGAAAAAAAAAATATACATTTGTCTGGGCAGCCAAGTGGTCAGCGCATTCGCTGCTTCTTTTTTGCATGTGGCTCGCGGTTTTGCTTCCCACAGTCACCGGTAATTTGCGGGGGATTATTTCATTGCGCATGCCGCCCGCTGCCGAAAAGAACTCGCAGTGATAATGCCACCTGAAGTATTTGAGCCGGGCCGGTGGTTTATCGCAGGTCTCTCGATTCATGATAGAGGGTCGTGGAGTTCAGTTCGGGGTCCTGGGTGTTGGTTCAGGCCATTTTCACTCCAATGTTGATATCGGGGCACCACGTGTGTGCAAAGTCAGCGGCGATTGTGCTTCGGGGAGTATTGCCCCTTGTCATCGGAGAGTGGAATTCTACCGCTGGCAAAGGCTAACCAAGTGACGTGAAGAACACACAATGTGCATTTCAGTTGGGAGGCTATTTGACTTTGGCATTTAAATCATCATGATCATCATCGGCCATAATCAGTCCACTGCTGGATGAAGATTTCCCCAAGCCGTCTTATTTTTGCATGTAATAATCCACCCAGCACCTGCACGAGCCGATTTCATCGCTCCATCTCCTCGGTCGATGTTCCCCTCAGATGCGTTCCCTTCTTTGGCTGCCACTCCACCATTGGTTTTCACAATTGGAGAAATATATTCCAGTTCATCTAATACATTTCACAGATAATGCCTTTTTAATGTTAGCTTGATAAAAAATTAAATAACAAGGCAAATATAAATGCTGCCTGCGGACTCTTTTTATGCTGCCTTTCTTTTATCTACTGATGGTAGCCCTCGATTGATCAATTGAGTCTTGGGTAATTCTTTTGTACTTTCAAAAACATTAATATGCCGAAAGATTAGGCAGCACATAGACACATTTGTCATCAAAGTATTTTGTTTTAGCTGTGTCAAATGTCATAATGTGTGTGGTAACGTGAGTTCTTATGTGTTTAATTGTCAAATTATTTTCTCCATTTTATCACGTGTTATAATTGCGGACTTTTAAATATTTAATTTCTTAAAAGGCATGAATGCTCGTGATTTATTCCTCTGCATCCCATTCGATTTCATTATTAGCGGCTGTTTGCGCCCACATTTATATCAGTAGGCCTTCACGTTGCAGAGATTGTAATGGTACAGATATACATATTAAGAAACAACCAATGATCGTAGTGTATCAATGTAGATGCAATTAAATTCTTCTCAATAGTGGTTTGACAACCATGTCATTGAGATTTGTTTTCATCAGTGCCAGTACAATCACATATAAATGCACGTACACAGAGACTCCCCGAGTAGCCTTTAAGAGACTGTTGAGGCAATGCTGTTATCAAGGACCTACGAAAAAAGGCAGGCACGGCGCACGACGAGGTAGTGTGGCTCGTATCCAAAACTGGCGACCTTTTGTCCCCTCCCAAGATTTTACGCGCTACACTCAGTACTCGTTTGAGGCGGAGGCGACATAGGGGAGGCCCAGGATCAGTTTGTCTATCGCTCGCCACTGGTGTTTGCTGTGGCCGCGAATGAATATCAGGATGTTGGGTTTGTAGCACCATGCGCGATGCACTCTGCAAATGGTCCCCACAATACCGTAGAGCGTTGCACGTCTTTGTTTTTTTTCTTCCATTTAGAATATGGAAAAAAAATATCGCTTTAATTTCTACTGTGGAACGTGCGGCGGTACTGCCGCGCGTTTATTGCTGTAATTTGTAGTATTTAATGGACTGCAATTTTTTTTTAATCACACAATTTCCCCAAAGTCTAAAAATGCAAAATGGCCAAACTTAAGAACACTAATGATAGTAGGGCAGTTAAGAAGACATTTTCTTGAATTGAGAAAGGTTATGGGGGACTTGTGAATATGGAGGAGGGCGAAGGAGTGCAGCAGTTGCGAGAAAAGGAGAGAGAGAGAGAGATGTTTGATACCGCAATTTTGTGGTTGAGCACAGTTTGGTTGAGCAGAGGTGTAAAGGCATGAAAAATAATCATGCCGATATAATTCATTCATTACATTTCCCTGAAGAGGGAAGGATGTAGAACAGGTGACGTTTCAGCCTATAGCCGTTCTTACCGCAAGATTTCTCTCCTGTGAACAAGGGCCATTGTCCAAAAAGCGTAACCTGTTATATACGCTGCCTCTTGATGGCAGTGAGGGTAAAAATGATTTGATCCCCTGCTGATTTTGAACGTTTGCCCACTGACAAAGAGATGATCAGTCTATAATTTTAATGGTAGGTTTATTTGAACAGTGAGAGACAGAATAACAACAACAAAATCCGGAAAAACGCATGTCAAAAATGTTATAAATTGATTTGCATTTTAATGAGGGAAATAAGTATTTGACCCCTCTGCAAAACATGACTTAGTACTTGGTGGCAAAACCCTTGTTGGCAATCACAGAGGTCAGACGTTTCTTGTAGTTGGCCACCAGGTTTTCACACATCTCAGGAGGGATTTTGTCCCACTCCTCTTTGCAGATCTTCTCCAAGTCATAAAGGTTTCGAGGCTGACGTTTGACAACTCGAACCTTCAGCTCCCTCCACAGATTTTCTATGGGATTAAGGTCTGGAGACTGGCTAGGCCACTCCAGGACCTTAATGTGCTTCTTCTTGAGCCACTCCCTTGTTACCTTGGCCGTGTGTTTTGGGTCATTGTCATGCTGGAATACCCATCCACGACCCATTTTCAATGCCCTGGCTGAGGGAAGGAGGTTCTCACCCAAGATTTGACGGTACATGGCCCCGTCCATCGTACCTTTGATGCGGTGAAGTTGTCCTGTCCCCTTAGCAGAAAAACACCCCCAAAGCATAATGTTTCCACCTCCATGTTTGACGGTGGGGATGGTGTTCTTGGGGTCATAAGCAGCATTCCTCCTCCTTCAAACACGGCGAGTTGAGTTGAGGCCAAAGAGCTCCATTTTGGTCTCATCTGACCACAACACTTTCACCCAGTTGTCCTCTGAATCATTCAGATGTTCATTGGCAAACTTCAGACGGGCATGTATATGTGCTTTCTTGAGCAGGGGGACCTTGCGGGCGCTGCAGGATTTCAGTCCTTCATGGCATAGTGTGTTACCAATTGTTGTCTTGGTGACTATGGTCCCAGCTGCCTTGAGATCATTGACAAGATCCTCCCGTGTAGTTCTGGGCTGATTCCTCACCGTTCTCATGATCATTGCAACTCCACGAGGTGAGATCTTGCATGGAGCCCCAGGCCGAGGGAGATTGACAGTTCTTTTGTGTTTCTTCCATTTGCGAATAATCGCACCAAATGTTGTCACCTTCTCACCAAGCTGCTTGGCAATTGTCTTGTAGCCCATTCAAGCCTTGTGTAGGTCTACAATCTTGTCCCTGACATCCTTGGAGAGCTCTTTAGTCTTGGCCATGGTGGAGAGTTTGGAATCTGATTGATTGATTGATTCTGTGGACAGGTGTCATTTTTACAGGTAACAAGCTGAGATTAGGAGCACTCCCTTTAAGAGTGTGCTCCTAATCTCAGCTCGTTACCTGTATAAAAGACACCTGGGAGCCAGAAATCTTTCTGATTGAGAGGGGGTCAAATACTTATTTCCCTCATTAAAATGCAAATCAATTTATAACATTTTTGACATGCGTTTTTCTGGATCTTGTTCTTGTTATTCTGTCTCTCACTGTTCAAATAAACCTACGATTAAAATTATAGACTGGTCATTTCCTTGTCAGTGGGCAAACGTACACAATCAGCAGGGGATCAAATACTTTTGTCCCTCACTGTATAATTCAAGACGAATGTGTTGAACTTTTGTTATCTGTTTTGTTTCATATCAATAACGGGAGTGTATCTGTGTACGTTGAACTGCTTTCACTTAACGCCAGTGAGAGCGTGGCCTGAGAGATTCTAAAACTAAACTATTATTTTATTTTACCAGGTAAGGCCGACTAAGCTATACAGCTCTTTTTCAGAAGCGACCTGGCAACAAATGATAGCTCAACGAAGTGGCTTATCATGTGGTAATGTACAGTAGCAGCCAAATACTCTAAAACGCACGTTGTTTCTAAATGTGGAGGGAAAAAACCGGAGGACCCGGAGAAAAATATATGCGACCGAGGGGAGAGACACATGCAAACTCCAAATATACAGCAGGCTTCTGGGTCGGAATCGAACCGACGACCTCCTGCATACTGGTCGAGGCAGTAAACATCTCCTAGCCACCGTGGCACCTCAATCATTGAGGGCGCAATTGTGAACGCGTGTCTTTTTGTCTCTGCCTGACGGTGGTGTGTGCGTGCAGGCAGGTGTGCCTCTGCCGGCGCGCGAGGAGACCTGCCTGCAGGAGGTGCTCTCCCTGGGCCTGGAGCGGCAGCTGGAGGCCCTGGCCTCCGTCAGCAACCTGGCGAGGAAGGAGCACACGCTGGAGGAGGCCCTCGCCAAGATGGGCCGCGACTGGGAGCCCGTGCGCCTCACCCTGGTCCCCTACAAGGACACGGGCACCACCATCCTCGCCTCCGTCGACGACGTACAGGTCAGGGAGCGTGTGGCCATCGGTGACACGCGGTGCAAGCTGCACGCAAGCCTCGTATCTCAGCGCTAATGCCCGAGGGGGGCCGCTCTGCGAAAATCGAATTGAGCCATTAATGCATTGGGTCTTTGCGCCATTTTACCTTGCTGTATATCGTCAAGGAGCATAAATCGTCACGCAAAACCCCGGTCATCCCCGCAGCGGCTTTTTGCTAGCCATCGAACAAAGATTGTCACCACAATTGCGCGCTTTCAGATGCACTTCTGCGGCCGTCTGGAACGCTCTTCCTTCTGATAATAGGAAGCCACTGGAGCTCTGCACTTTTAAATCTCGATCGATAACTAATTTCTTTAGAACTGCTTTTTGTGTTTAGTTTGTTGTCCTTCCCCCCGCGCTTACAATTAGCACGGCTAGCTACGTACGGTGCGAAAGAAGTTCAATATACATACATTCTGTGTTGCACCGTACGACCCACTGAGCTATACAGCTCTTTTTCAGAAGTGACCTGGACACAAATGATGGCGCAACGAAGTGGCCTATCACGTGGAAATGTATCTCGGCCAAATACTCTCAACGCACGTTGATTATTAATGTGGAGGGAAAAACCTTGAGGACCCGGAGAAAACTCCATGCAACTTCGCGGAGAGAGAGAGAGAGACACGCAAACTCTAAAATATACGAGTGTCAGGGTCGGGATCGAACCCCACGACCTCCTGCATACCTGGCGAGGGCAGTTCACATATTGGCACCGCGGCGCCCGACCAATACGGCCGCAAGGGCTTTAACTGCAACAGGTGGCAAAATGCAATTCCCGCTCGCCAATGTCCTTGCCTCTACAGTCGTACGATTACTCTTATTTGGAGAATATTCGAAGGTCTCTTCGGCGATGCATTGAAAAGTACAAGGGTATAACGGGCATATTCCGAGGCTGCAACTGATGAAAAATCTCAATGCAGAGCAACAACAATGCGTATGCAGTGCATCTCTTCGTATATCCTCTATCCTGTTATCCACGGGCCCCGATTGTCCACGGCCTCTCTCATCGATCAGCAGGAAACACTATTGTCAGTATTTCTTTTTTTTTTCCCGATCATCAGAGTCGTGCGGCAAATTCGCCCTATTCTCTGTGACGGTAATGGGTGCACCTGGACGAGCCCTCTGTGTGCACATACTTCAATACATTATCGGGGGGTTAATAACAGATAGGTGGAGTCGCCCTGCAAATAAATCCTTTCATTGCTTTCCAAGGCGGTTTCCGTGGTTGCCCGTAGGTGCTACACACACCCGTCATTCCATTTCAGGTTCATCGTTCGTGCTCTGTCAAGTCCACCACGTTACGTGAGGAGATGCACGGAGGTGGCGACAGGTTAACCCTTATTCTAGGTTAACGCTCATTCTAGGTAAACCCTTACTCTACGTGTGTATTCGCAGGTGATCGCGCAGGTAAGGGGGGAGTTAATTGCGCTGGAGAAAAAAGTGCAGATGTTAGGATTTACCAACGACGACCCCCACACATCGGCGTGTGTTCGAGGAGTTTTACTGTTTTTTTTTGTTTTTAGTAAAGCGATGTTATAATTGGCAAGTATAGTGAAAAGGAACCATGTGTTACTCTTTTTGTTTCATATTTTTATTATTTTATGGTTTCCCTTCTACGTGACGTTACCGAAAGAACCAAGAACACGTGTTACTCCTTATTGTACGTGTTATTTTTTTCGAAGATATATACCGTATATACGAATTTAATGATTAAACGATTGAATGATGTAGTCAGATTTTGAATAGTCCAATTGCACGTGCAGTGTGTGAGAATTCTCTGTACCTGTATCTGGAATTTTTTTTAACGTTCACTATTACAATAGACGTAGACATTCGATTCAGGCTGCAAGAACCCGATGAGCCATGATGTTATTTCTCATAGTTCGTAGCTTCTGTCCTTACAAACAAACATACATATATACAGGCAGACAAGCCGGTGCATTTAAACAACAACAACAACAACCGCCATTCGCCACTAAGTGGCGGTGACGTCACCACGACGCTTGTGCCAGGCCATGTGCACCTTGAGGCCACGTGAAGTGTCGAACTCCCGCATTTAAACACGTACAAACAGACAGACATGCATACGGGCAGTCACTAAACAAACATCAATCAAATCTGTAAATTACGAGAAAACCCTATCATAACAGAATCATAGTCGCAGGCCGGGGGAAAAAAAAACAACACATGAGTTTCAAACAATACACAAGCACGTGCTAAAAACACACAACCGTTGAGCATATGTGAAAAGCCATCAGAGTATTTCCTGCAGAAGTGCAGTGTGGCCCTCCTGTCCCCTCGCTTTGTGTCAGTCGTCGCATTCGCTCAAATTAATTTCGACGGCTATCTAAGACAAGAGGACCAGAATGCACTTATTCAGGAAATGTCGCTGGCTTTTTTTGCATGACGCAGAAATGCCGGATTTTATTTTTACAACGCATTTGCGTCTTGTTCGAATACACAAAATGACGGACCCACAGGCCACAGGCATACTTTGGCTTTTCCACAAAGTTCCCAAAGCGTGAATTTTCATTTGACGTTTTTTTTTTACGCAAAAATACAGACTATATATTTTAAAGACTTTATTCCATTATGTTCAACATACAAACGCACATATTATCTAACAGTTATGAGTTTGTCGTTTTTTATTAGACTCTGTACACAGTTGTACTAACAGGCATGCATGCTTACAGACAGACCGACTGACTTATACATGTTAAAAAGCATGCAGACAACAAAGTGAATGTTTCTGAGCCAGTCAGTGTGTGTCCTCTGTGCACATGCCACATGCTAAATCTGCACAATGCACGCATTTGGCTTTCACAGCGGAATACTCTAAACCTCAAAGTGCACATCCAAAGCTCCGAGCATTATTCAGCGCAGTAATAGTCCCGAAATGGCTTGTGTTATTATAGATATTACTGCAATTGATACGGCTAAATGTTTCTGCAGCTTAAGTGCTGCACCAGCATATTCCTGAACTCTTCGGCACAATGAGGCTGATCTAGGTACCACCAACAATTTAGCACTTACTGCGCAAAATTGCATTCTTTTTAAAACGACGCAGGCATAGCACAGGCAAGCAGGCAAGCATTTTGTGTGTCCGAGTAAAGCAGTTAAATTAGTAATCAATTATTCTCCACAAGATGGGCTGGGTGGCTCAGGTGCTTGGCTCACAATCGAGTTAAAATTCTGGTCCAGCATCGACTCATCCCCAGCATGACTCTGGGTGAATGAATTGAGTACCACATTGTGGGAAGTCAGCACAATGGTCAACCCCATGGAGAAACAGGCTTCTTCCATGGATGTGTGGGATGTGCACGGTTACCCTGAGGGCTCGTTGACTTTGAGCAACCAATTGGTCGACCTAAGTCGCAAAATTCCTGGATACTGCACTACGCGCACGATGCTTATGAAAATCCATACGACAAGCCATTGCAATCGGAACCAAACCACTGTAACCGTGTTTCTATCATTGTTTTACGAATGTAGGAGTGATGGCCATCATATTCTCAATAACAATAACACCACGGGACACAGTACAGTATATATATACGGTGGCGGAGCTGTGGGGCATGTGATGAGGCCACATGGGGTCTGCCTTCCGAGCCACGGCAGAGGTTTTTCCCCATGACAGCAGGATAATTGTGCTCGTGGGAATGAACTCACGCCCAGCTCTCCATTGAAGGCGGGAGACTGTAATGTGGGTTGTCACCTGCTACCGAATATACATGAGTGATCGATTGATTGAATGATTGATTGAATTAATTGAGGTCCCGTTGAATTGCCGAAACCTTGACCGGCATTCCTGTAACAATTCCAAAAGGGGTAAGTTGTCATACTAACAGGATTCTGCCATAAATCTAGGCTGCTTTGGTGCACTGTAAAATGCTAATGCTTTGTACCCTGCATGTGTGTGAGGGAGTGTTTTTCCTTGCCTGTGTGTGTGTATAATTCCATGTATGTGTACACGTGGGTGTGGATTTGTGGGTGGGGAGCGGTAGTGCAGCAGCGGTGAGCGCACTGCACTTCGAACCCGGCGACCCGAGTTTGAATCCCGCTCATGGCCAACACCAGTGAAGATTATTTGAACCAGTGCTGGGCCTCCCCTCGGTCGACTCAGGCACAAATGAATCGCGTGTGTGATGTGTAGACGTCACCGCCGGGGGAGACAAAAGCAGTCGGTCGTGGTGTTGGCCACCCACCCCATTGCGTGCTGGGTCGGCCTTCGTAGGTGCTTGCGGATAGTAATTGCCCCAACAGTCTGTTAAAGGCTACGTAGGGGATTGTTGTTTTATTGTGCAATTGTATGTGTGTACTGGCACATTGCATTTGATTCCTGGCGATGGAACATGTATCAAGTTGTATTTGAGCCAGTCCTGAGCATCTGACAAGTCTATCTTGCATGTTGTGCATTGCTAGAAGATAATGCATCTCCTTCAGATATCCGTCTCTCCACGAAGATTATAATACAATTATTTCTTACACAACCCATGAGCCACACGGCCTTCTGGGAGTGCATTATTTCAGCAGTAGACTCTGGACCGGTTTCGACACAGTCTCTCATCAATACAGTCAGGTTTGCTTGAATCAATTCTGGTAAATTGCCAATTTTTATAGGCAAGAACTATCTCTGTACGATATTGGTCCCAGATTGACGCACGGGAACAACATAGATCCACACACATGGGCATTATTAATATCAAGTGAAATACTTACGTAAACTAAACTATGTTTTTTTATTTTATTTTTACCAGGTAAGGCCCACTGAGCTAATCACTCTTTTTCAGAAGCGACCTGGCCACAAATGACAGCTCAACAAAGTCGCTTATCACGCGGAAAATTAATCGCAGCCAAGTGCTCTCAATGCATGTTTATAAATGCGGAGGGAAAAAACCGGAGAACCCAGAGAAAAATATACGTGGCCACACAGAGAACGTGCAAACTCCAAATATGCAGGTGTGAGG